GCAACCTACTAGCGATGGCCCCCAACCTACTAGCAATGGCCTGCAACCTACTAGCAATGGCCTCCAACCTACTAGCGATGGCCTCCAACCTACTAGCAATGGCCTGCAACCTACTAAGCAATGGTCTCCAACCTACTAGCGATGGCCCCCAACCTACTAGCAATGGCCTACAGCCTACTAGCAATGGCCTCCAACCTAAGAGTGTTTGGGACATCGTATGAATCAGATGAAACAAGTGGAAATTCGCATGATTCCCTTCGTTTTTTGTTTGAAGTCAATTGTGTACAAGTCTAAGGAACTCTACAACCAGTTGGAGAGGATCGAAGAACTGCGTCCCGGCACTGCCAAGCGATTGAAGGACCGAGACATGGTTTATGGTTTCGAGTCGGAGAAAACAAAAGTAGATCTGATGTCAGTAGATGAATCATGATGAATTTCTACTAGTAACAAGAAAGCTTTCTAGTAACTAGAAACTAGGTGGATGGCCATCGCTAGTAGGTTGGAGTCCATCGCTACTTCAGCAGAGACTCTTGACTTGCTAGGAAGCTGTGCGCAGCATTGGTCTCTTCGAGGAGGCTGTCTATCAGACTGAAACGGGTGTGTGTGTGTGTGTGATCACCACTCTAGGCTGTAGAGGTGGCAGATGCAGTGCTCAAACGTCGTAGTGCAAACAAACTTCCGTGTTCAGGCGAGGGAAGGCACAGGTTCTCATCCCCGACCACCGCGTTTTTGCCCTAGAGATTTAATTCGTGGGAGAGACAGGTTTAGGTCTAGCCAGTCATCCCTTTGGTGATTCTGAGGTTTGTTTCTTGGGATTCTTGCCAGCTTCCTGGTTGTCCTATTGGCTTTCCTGGTATTTTGGGTTGGGAGCTTGGTTTCGGCTGCAATATGAAGAGTGCCAGAGGTGCCAGATTGCTGGATACCCTGAGGTTTGGCGACAGTCAGGAGAAGCAGAATGAAGCAGACACCATAATCTCTTGCATTCCAATTCTAATAATGAAGTTTTGTCGATTCGTTTTTGATGTGTGTCAAAGCTGCTTGGAACTCTTTTGACACTCCAATGGTCAGCACGAAAGCGGCGTTACTCTGGCTCAAGCAAAGTTGCTTTTGCCACACTTGCTGCTTCAAACCAGTAGATTTACTGTAGAGGCCACTGAGTGCGCTTCAACCCTTGAAGCTTGTGTCACTGTATCAGCCAACCACTACTCCGCTTGTATCACAAGAAGGCTGGAAAAGGCCAGTAGTCTTTCTCCCAAGCAGAGATGCACAGCTGGGGCGCTCCTGAGTGCTGACCAGAAGAGGCACGTGGGACTTAACCCAAAAGCGACGGCCTCCACCCTAGTAGCGATGGCCTCCAACCTACTAGCGATGGCCTCCACCCTAGATTTTGCTTGGTACAAAGGTAATCATTTCAAGTTTCAGACAACAATTGGCTTTGCGTTTATCCAGTGCCTTTACCCTTTTTTTCAGACCATGATGGCTCAAGCCAACTTCGAACTGGGCTCTCTGCCTCCGGGCGATGCGCTAAACTGGCCGAGATCCCATCGGTCTGCGCGGCCGAAATCGTGGGATCTGCGCCTGGACCGAGGAAGAAGCGCAGCCATCGCAGCCGGTGGAGTTGGTCTTCTGAACAGAATTTCTTCCCGTGGCCAGGGTCGGGCCCAGGCTCGGGCGCGCTGTGGGAAGAAAGGAAAGCCGATGCCAGTGGATCAGTCAGTCTATCCGGCCAAGGAGCTGTGTAGCCGCTGCGGCTTTTGTAATACCTCGCTGATCGCACAAGTTCAAGATGCCTGTGCCTTTCTGGGAGCTGGAATGGCTCGGATCGACCAGTTGGAGCACACGGTGCATGGACGTCCACGGCAGGAGGAGGAACTCTATTTCGGTGTGCAGGTCCAGGCTCGTTTTGAGCAAAACCAAGAAAGCCGGTCTGACCAGCCGATGGCCGGCCCACAGCTTGATTTTGAATCACATTTTTGCACAGTGTCCATGACACGGATTGATTTGCGTGACTCTTTCGCATCCCGCGTCTTTCCAGGATGGCCTGCGGCCCATCCAAGTGGCGCCCGAGGCTCGCACCGGGCGACGTGCCTGGACCGGGGTGGTCACGAGCATCGCATGTGAAATGTTGAGATCGAAAGCGGTGGATGCCGTGCTTTGTGTGTCCAGCACGGTGGACAAGCCATTGGAGCCCAAACCCATCTTGGCACGGAGCGTGGAAGAAGTCCTGCAGACTGGAGGGGTGAAACCAATGTTGTCGCCCAACTTGCTGCCACTGGAGGAGCTCTGGCAGGACAGGTCTGGGGATTGGATAGCTTGAGACTGACATGTTTTGACATAAACGAAACGATTGCAACAAGGTTGGAGGCCATCGCTACTAGATTGGAGGCCATCGCCATTAGGTTGGAGGCCATCGCTTGTAGGTTGGAGGCCATAGCTTGAACCCCAGCTCCAACAGCCTGAAGGTTCGTGGAGAAGACATCCAGCGTTTGCTCTTCATTGGAGTTGGCTGCCAAGTGCAGGCTTTGCGTTCAGTAGAAGCTGATCTTGGTCTCAAGGAGCTATATGTGCTGGGGACGAACTGTGTCGACAACCCACGCAATGCGGAGGCCCTTCATCGCTTCCTACAAAGTGCAAGCGAGACCCCTGAGACAGCCACAGGCTTCGAGTTCATGCAAGACAATCGGATTCACGTGAAGCATTCAGATGGGCGATATGAACGAATCCCGGTCTTTTCACTCAAAGAGCCACAAAACTGTACCGGAGTCATTGCGAAGTCCTGCTATTCCTGTTTCGACTATGTGAACGCATTGACGGACTTGACTGTGGGATACATGGGAGTTCCGTGGCAGGGCGGACGCATGACGGAGCACCAACAGTACTGTGTGGTGCGCAATGAACGTGGCCAAAAGATGTTGAGGCTTTCGCAAAGCGTTTTGGAACTTGGACAGGCCGGCTAGGATCATGGTTTTGAATCTTTGTTCCAAGAGGTCCCGCGTAATTCGCCGTTTTTGGCAAGCCCACAGAGCTTTACGGATGTCCTTCAGTCACAGACCACCCAATCGATCGAATCGATTCAATGCTTGTTTGGTACAAGACTTTAAAGAGATGCCTTTGGAGACGTCAAGACTTCAAATGCCCGTCCACCCAAGCATCCCAAGCACATTCATTTCTCAGGCGGAGGAGCTCCAGGTGGACGGGCGCTTGTCACGTCAGCAGCTGCTGCCGGAGGTGCTGCGCCCGGAGTTGGATTTGGCCTTTGGACAGCGGAAGCCAAGACCCGAGCCACCGAGGTGAGGAGAAAGAGAGGGAGGCCTCCAACCTACTCGCGATGGCCTCCAACCAGGTAGCTTCATGTTACTAGTAGCTTCTTGCTCCTAGTAGTACGGCCAGGAGCCCCTAGTAGCGTCCTTGCTCCTAGTAGCGATGCCAGGAGCCCCTAGACTACCAGCCCTATAGGAGCACACTCTTTGCGCACTCGTGCACATTCCATGGTTCCAGCTCCGCTCCCGGAGGCTCCACTCCCTGGTTGAGTTGGTTTCTGCTCGGGGTTCCCCTTACGGAGATAGGGTCTGAGATGTGGTGATCCGAAAGGTTGTCTTCATTGTTTCTAATAGCAAACATTGTTACTACTAGTAACAAGTACCTTACTAGTAGTAACAAGAAGCTTAGTAGAAACAAGAATTAGTAATTAGGATTAAGTTTAATTAGAATTAAGTTAATTAAGAGAGACTACAGACAGCAGGATCTGTTCACATCCACAAAAGAACCCTGTTGAAACATGCCTGACACCGTGGGTTGTGCCAAAGACCCCTGTAGCCGGCGACACGTTCTTATGAACATCGGACGCCTTTTGGGTAGTCTTTGCCTGAACCATCCTGAACCCCTCACATCCAACATCATCCAACATCGAATGCTTCATGACTTTTCCTCTTTTGCTGCTTTAGACGTTTTTGCACTTTGGACATGGCTTGTTTTGACCTCAGCCCCCTCGCTAGTAGGTTGGAGGCCATGGCCATCGCTATTAGTAGCCATCGCTCTCAGGTTGGAGGCCATCACTAGTAGGGTGGAGGCCATCGCTCTTAGGCGCGTTCTTTGGACTTCTCGACTTGCCAGCGACCCACTGGGACTGCGCGTCTCGTCTTTGGTTCGTAGGTGGCTGGCGGAGCTTTTGAGCGAGGTCTTCACTTGGCTGGGCCCACAAGGCTTGGACTTCGCACGTGCCTCCATTGACAGGGCCACCTTGAGGAACTTGGTGTGCTTGGAGGAGAAGGGTTGGCGAAAAGGTTAGGGGCTCCTGGCCTTGCTACTAGGAACAAGGACGCTACTATATGTATTCGTCATGACTTATCAAACGAAGATGTGGATGTTGCAAGATGCTACAGTTGCATTTTCCCCTGAGATCGCAGTGTCGTTTTTGTCCTCAAGGTCTGGGCTTAGGACAAACAACATGTGCTGGCAGGTGGACCTATTGAAGAAGCGGGCAGGACAGCAAATGGAGTTGGATGCGACTTTGCCAAAGCATGCGAAGAAGATCCGCTCTCAATATCAAGAGCTCTTCGAGACACTTCTGGAAACTTACAGAGGAAAGCAAGTGCAGTGAAGCATAGCGAAGCACCGCGAAAGGATTATACACACCTTGTTTGGCGCTTCCCCAAGGACCTCAGGCAACCTCAAGCCCGACTCAAGCCTGAACACTATTGACCTTCAGGACCAAGAGCGATGGCCTCCAACCTAAGAGCCTGCCATCGTCCGGGAGCATCCTGCACTTCCCAAGCCGGCCCATGATTCTCTCCGGCGTGACGAGCGATGCTCACGCGGAGACCGCTCCACGTCGCGATGCTCCGAGAGACCGCCCGCAGCGGGAAAAGGGGACGCGGAGAAAGGATCTCGTCCTTTATCGATCTTTTTGAAGTTGTAGGAACAAGGGCATTGCTACTAGGAACAAGGACCTTTCACTCACTTTCGCTTCTAGTAGCAATGCCCTTGTTACTACATGTTACTACTATCTCCCCCTACTTTTTTGAGTCTTCGGAACGTTGATGCGGACGTCTTCCATCTTGGCCTTGTTCCGCCTGCGAGGCATGAGCGTGAATGTGCCGGCCTGCCTACCAGACTGGGCCCAGGTGGGATCGGCCCACAACGTTTCGCGCCTGGAGGGATCCAATCCTTTGGTGCTGAACATCTGATGAGGGACATTTGAAAAACATGTTTCATGTTCGCCAGGAATTGACCTAATTATACGCGGCACGATTGCTGACTTTTGCTGACTGAAGAAAGTGGTGAGACCTTTGCGCGCCCGGCTGCAATAGACGACAGGAGGGGAAGTCGTGCCCTTATGGAAGCAAGCCAGGAGCCTTAGAGTTGGTTGGCCTGTGACCTACTTTGCAGCATTTGTATGCATTTGTTGGTTGGCCTGCCAGAGGTCCGGTTTGCTCTTGGGCAACTGGACCTGGCCCGATCAAGGCAGGGGCGTTGAAAGCGCCTGGTGCCAACAAGACATGCTTTGAGCTACAAGTAGAAAGCAACAACCTTAGAAACTCTAACCCATTTTCATCCATTTTCCAAGTCTGCGCTCACATTGATCCCGATTCGACGCAACTTCCACATTCGGTCCATTCGGTCGTCGCTGGCAGGCGTGACATGGATCCACTACATTGGTGCATTCTACTCGTTTATGCCCATGTTGTTTCCTGGCCAATGGATGCCAACAGTTAACTGTTGTCCTGCAGCCCTGCGTGATGTTAAGGGTGATCTTCGGCATTTTGATCTATGGCCTCTGGAGCGGCATTTGTGTTTTCTTTGGAGCGGCCATCGCTCGATTCCGGGGCCCTTCTTTCGATTCCCAGGACTCGAGGCGTGAGGGAGCTCTTCGCCTTCATCTTCCAAGGGCTCACAGTGGTGGAACGGGACCTCAGAGCGTTTTTGTAGGTTGAAGGCCATCCGCTGGTAGGTTGGAGCGATGTTGGGGGAAATCCCACTTTTGGAGCGATTGTTACTTCTAGAACGGTTTCATCGACTTTTCACATGGAAGCATCATGTGAGCCATGTCTCAAGCTGGGGCTCCTGGCCTTACTACTAGGAGCAAGGACGCTACTAGGGGCTCCCCCCCTCCTACAGGTTCCTGTAGCGCTCCATTTCTCAGGTGATGACTGCCATGAAACTCATCATCAAGCAGCGTCGGCCGGTTGTGTTGGTCTCAGCTTTTCGACCTAAAAAGTTAGGCTCCGCTTTTTTTTTGCCAACCGAGTCGCAGCCGAAAGTAGGTTGGAGGCCATCGCTAGTAGGTTGGAGGCCACTTAGGATGTTTCTATATGTTCCTGATGTATCGGCTGAACTCAGCTTGGAGTTTCGTGTCCGTTTGACCTGCGTCGCTGTGATTCAGGGCTCCTGCAGTGTGACTTGCGGGATGCCTTCGGGACACACCGTTGCGAGGGGAACTTAGTCATCTGGAGACCACATTCTTTTTCGAAAAACACCAATTCGAAGTACCTCATTCTTTTCTTAAAGAGCTGTGCGACTGGGAACCGAGAATCGCCCATCGGTGCAATCTGAGGACCATTGGCACCTTCGTGTGGATTGCACTGGAGGCCATTTGTGATGCCACCGGTGACGGCATTGGTGCGCGTTGATGGCGTGGTTTCAAGAAGTGCAGGTCTGGGCGGCCAAGTGTATGGAACCCAAGCAGAAAGCCTTAGTCCTTGGCGTTGCAGGTGGGCGGATGTCTCACTAACATCAAAGTGACAGGCTTCGCCAACCGGCGATGCCTGTGGGGGGATGCGTGTATGCGGAGGCGACTACTACGACCACTACTACTACTACTGCTACTACTACTACTATTACTACTACTATTACTACTACTACTACTACTACTACTACTACTAGGACTAGGACTAGGACTAGGACTAGGACTAGGACTATTACTACTACCACGACTAGCAGGCCGGCGCACTCGCGCACACGCACACGCACGTGCACAAGAGCGCGCGAGCGCGAACGCCCGACGCCGCGACGCCCGCACGCCCGCATGCACGCGCACGGCTCCTTCAAATATCACGGCTTTGCAGTGGAAAGCGCTCAAAACGTTGTACTTATTGAATATGTTTGAGCATTTTCTAGCCCAAAGCTATCTCCGCTTAGGCTACAAAATGCTCAAATACACAAGAAGCCCACGTGGTGCTCGAAATGTCGGCCGCAAGCCAGCATTTCGAGCATCACCGAGACGTAAATATTTTATTGAAAAAGTTAAACAAACACAGGAGAAATTGTAAAACATGGCTACTGTAAAACTTTATCTCTACAGAAGAGAGTATGCTAAGAGGAGAGACAGTTTTGAGGTAGCAGTCGTGTCATGCACCATTGGCATCATCAAAATACGAGCAGCATTGTTGATTAACTACTAAGAGGAGAAGGAGTTTTGAGTTAGCAGTTGTGTCAAACACACCATTGGCATCAACAGAATATGAGCAGCATTGTTCATAAATTGCATACACGCTGCAAAAACACTGTAACTTACAGTGTTTTCTGCCTAGTCATACACCACAGGATTTGCATCTTTCCTGCGAAGACCTTGCTGATGCTCATGATGCTTGGCCAAAATGTATCCTCAAAGCCTCTATCCATTTTCACTGCTTTATTTTCTACAGGTTTGGAAGCCGCTTTTTCATCCGTGGCCTTTTTTGATCATTTTCGCATGTTTTTAACGTTTTTTGACGAATCTACATGAACCCTGATGATGCTAGAAAAGAGGTCGGCGGCATGCCATATAGCAAAGCTATAGCAAAGCTAAGCTTGCTAGGACTGTGGTACGGCGTTGCCGGAGTGCCGCCGACCGCAGTTAGTGGGCCAGAAGCCAGGCAGGACAGGATGTGGGAGAGGTTGGCGTGCGGAACAGTAGAAGCCATGGTTGCCAAGCTCAGAGCCTCCCAAATGAAGCGCAACTAGGAGCCTCAGGAAGCAGGACATGGGCAGGCCAGGTCGGCGCAACGTTGCTGCGGAAGGTTTCAGGGCACGACCATTGCCGCTACCTAACGTCACCTTCGAAGCCCTATTGAAAGAGGTGCCTAGGCCAGCGCCAGGGAGGTCTAGGCCAGCCCAGGGACCAGGCCTTCTGTTTGCTCCTGACTCGCTCGTTAAATGCTTTTCAAAGTGCTTTTTCACCTGGCGCATTGAAAAGCACGGAGGGCAGTGACAGAGAGCACAGGGGCCAGAGCAGGCAGGTGGCAATCGCTTCTCTCTACCGCGAAGCATATCCTATGTCCTGCTGAGCAACTGAGGCCGTGAAAAATTGACTGAGGCCATGAAAAGCTGGCAAAGCCTTTGCTCGCGCCACCACAGGCCCAATGCCAACCGCTTCACCCTGCGGTGTCCCAGGCGCCGCCCCGCCTAGGGGCAGGGGTCGGCGGATAACAAGCTGCTTCTTCCCAGCAAGATGTTCGTGAAACTTGAAACTTTGGCAGGTTTGCTCCTGATTCCTGTTGGCTGGAGTCGGGTGCTTTTCCATGACCATTCCTGGGACCAGGCTGATTGCCGGTCGCCCACTGTGCTACTGTGCTGGTATGTTGACATTGGTGCCATACAAGTCCCACATGCAGGTCTTAGTTGGCGCTGTGGTGGGAACCCTGCTGGCTGTCATTTGGTATGGATTCTTGACGTCTCGCCACGCCGGCCAGTTTCGGAAGACTGTTCTTCAGAGGTTTTGCAGTCAGCCAGTAGATGATGTATTCGCAGTCTGTGGCCAGGTCTAGCTTGGTGGCTCATCAAGGTCGGCCTTTTGGCCCTTTCTGACTGTGCTCTTTTTGCCGTTTTTCCCCGTCGTCGTTTCCTGGGTGCAGTTGCTGAAAGCTTGGGTGCCCTTCGTGGAAGTGTCCGCCGGCTCAGCGCACCTTCAGCCGCGCACATTGAAGGGTCCACAGAGGTCAACATTGTCGACAGGGGTCATATGTAATGAAGAGTTAAAAAGCACACAGAAAAAGGCGACCATGGAAGGCGACGTATATGTTTCAAGCGTGTGGCCGAAACAGATTCTCAGGTGTGGCCGAATTTTCACCCGGGTGCTAAGGAACTATCCCATCGACGGTATGACTGAAGAGGCTCCTTGGGCTCCACAAGCCCCACCGGCCGACTACGGCACACGGGAACTAAAAAGCCAATGAGACGCGACTCCGTCGCCTCCGCTCACCTCGAGGCACCAGCGATGCCCGTTCTGGCCTCCAACCTAAGAGCGTCCTTGCTCCTAGTAGCGATGCCAGGAGCCCCTAGTAGTTTCTTGCTACTTGTAGCGATGGCCTCCACCATAACCAAAATTCCATTTTAGAACTGCTCAAGTTGACAACTGACGTGGAAGCTGGTTGATAACTGGCAACGGGTTGATCCGGTTCTTGCCAGACATCATTTTGACACATCGCAGATCCCTCGTTTCACCGCGGATCGCCTCTCGTGGTGCCCGCTGCGGAAAAAGAGAAGCCTGCGCTCTCCCGAAGCCTGCGTGGTTTCCTGGACGAAGGGGCATCGAAGAGTCACGCTGCTTGGCTTGTGATCACCTCAATGAGGAGCTGTGCTGGAGCCGGTGGAGCCAGGACTGGGGTTTGGTTTGGTTTGACTAGATTACCACTCATGATCCAGTCTCTGAGCAGTCAAGACACGATGCAAGATCAGATCTTGGCACACACGATGCTTGCAGCTCATTCAATGGGGGTTTTGTCCTTTTGTGATCTACTAGAAACAAGAAGCTACTAGGAACAAGTGCATCGCTTCTAGTAACAAGTGCCTTACTAGTAGTAACAAGGACGCTAGTAGAAACAAACTAGAAACAATGATTTGTTTCTCCGTTTGCTTCCCTCGTTCGACTTGTTCGCTCGTCAGGTGCGAGAAGTTCCAATTCCTCCGTCCTGTCACCAGTGGGAGAAGACTTGCCAGAATCAGCAGTGAGAGGCAGTGTGTGAACATGTGTGGGCAGACTGCTTTGATAAAGGGCTGTATATAGCCAAGAAACGTAAAGAAACTGTTGCATTGCTAGTTGGTTTCCCAGCGCAAGCTAGCGGGATGAGAGTTCATTCAAGCAAGTCTTCCAACAGGCATCCGAAGGCAAGTCCTTAAAGTCTGTTTGGGAGGCACTACAGAAGATGCGGCGGAGAAACCAGGACTTGTAAGTTACCATAGTGTTAGTCTCCCATCTGACAAGTGACTTGCAAGTTACCGGACTCTTGTTGGCTGTGCTGGGGCGCTTCTTCTTTGTAGGAGTGGCCACCACCGCTGCTGCCACTACCAGCACCACCAGCACCACCACCGCTGCAGCCTCCTTCACCATTGATATGTCCCAGGCAGACCTCTTCCCAGTCGTGCAAGGGCAGTTTCTATCATTTTCCAGGGGCTCCTGGCCTTACTACTAGGAGCAAGGACGCTAATAGGGGATCGCTACTAGGAGCAAGGACCCTCCTAGGGGCTCCTGGCATCGCTACACTAGGAGCAAGGACGCTACTAGGGGCTCCTGGCATCGCTACTAGGAGCAAGGACGCTACTAGGGGCTCCTGGCATCGCTACTAGGAGCA